GGAACACAGCTGCTCCAGAGGCCCAGGTTAAAGAAAGTGTGGAATGGGGTAGGGGGTGCTTATCATAAGCAAGTCGTTTTTTGGTTGCCCTAGCGGTCGGGTTTTACATTGACTGGCGCATAATTACCACCTAAGAATGCCGAATCGTCTAACGGAACACGCCCCCAAACATTGACTACCGGAGTTTCGATCACTCTAATGACAAGACCAGGCATGCATTGGAATACAACACTCGTGGATATGCACAACGCCAAATTTTCATCGGAGCTTAATAGTTCACTGTAGTCATTCCATAATACACACTGTTCGAGAATGTAGTCTGTCAGTTAGTGTGTGTTTACCTGTGATTATCGCTACCTTGCCAGTTAGCATCATTGGCGACGCCATCTTGCAAAGGAATAAATAAGTCACATGGGTAGTACGACCCCCTAGCGTAGTAGCATTAACACAACGAACAAGAAACTGTTGAAAAACGTAAAACCCATGATACAATATTGAAGAATATGAACGAAAGCTATGAAAAACACGATAATTCCTTGTGGTGTTGTGGAGGCGTGGATTGGTAGTGTTTGTCAACGTTACCGATAAATGTAACAAAGTCGTAAATCTTGTTAATGACATCTCGTTAGTTCTAATTAATATTAATTACTACAGAGTAATATATAAAAATAATAATATTATTAAAACTCGTAATATATAGTTTGAAAAGGAAAAAATATCATTTAAATAATAATGTATTTATAACACTCTATTCCCAGGTAATTATAGATAAGGGCCTGTCGATAAATCAAAAATAAATTCTTTAACTAATGTATTCGGGTAAATACTTTTAATATAAGAGTATTAGCATAGCAAGATTACTTTGTTATGTTTTCAGACTCGATCATGAGTCTACAGTGGTTTACTGAAATAGTGTTTTTTGTTAAAAGTAGAAAATGACTGTAAGTCTAGAATGAAAAACTAAAATAGTGTTGTTATTTTTTTTAAATGGTGGTCCTATGTCGAAACACGAAACATAATTTTATATGGGAAAACGAGTAGTTTTCTATTACAATTATATTGATGCTTTTTCATAAAAAGCACTAACTTATGAAGCCTTTTCAAGGTCTTTCATCGATCTTACCCATACTGACATATGGCGCTTAAGTATAGGTTTTTCGGAAATACAGTATTCGTGAACGTATTCGGTATTATACAAGTAATAATTTGCAAGGTATCTCCAATAGATTCCCGAATAATAAATTATTTACCTTTGGTGGTGTATCAAATAATTTAACTTCTGTTAATATCAGAACATAGACTTTCAGCTGAGAAGTCTCTTGTTTATTTTTGGTGTTTTTTTCAATGAAATAAAATATGGGAGTATGTAAATGGAGAAAGCCAGGTTACAGTGATAGTCGGGTTTCAGAGAAATTAACACGTTTATATACTTCCATATTTTATTCAATGAAAAAACAAAACAAATAAGAGACTGTATGCAAGTCTAATCAGAACACATATACGTCCTTTATCATGTTTTGTTCGCAGTGTCGTCTTCGTATTAAAGTCGACAAAGAAACGATCAAGAGAAATCAGCGTAGACATCAATTCTGCGATTCGAACTAATTTGTAAACGAATATCACTTTCTTTCATTACGCCCGTTTATGTAAGTGTGCCTTCTGCGCGTTTCTTATAATCCATCACATTTCACAAAGTTTACCATTGTGCTGAAAACACACGACATTGCAATTCTAAATTTATTGTGTTCCAAGCCAAACAAATCCAGTGTGTAAGAACTTGCTATAATATGACCTATCAGATTGAAATATGTGACTTTCAGACATCTCAGAAAACTTGTTTTCGGGTGAAATAAACAATACAATATTTCTACAATTGCATTCATATGCTAAGTGTAATTGCTTCAGATAACTGTGGCATATTTGTAAACCGGCATTGTCTTAGCTATGTAACTGTTCCATATTTTGCACATTGGCTAGGACTGTGCAGATTTTATCGCAGTGTAACGTCTGGGTCGACAAAGATATAGACTTCTTACTCAATTATTGAAAAGGTTGGACAAGGAATGGGTTCAAACCCACAACATTAACCACAGCAGGTTGAGTCTCTAACGATTGGGCTGTTGGATTGAATTATTCATTAGCAAATGACAAGGCTTACAATACATTTTTTTGTATTTACGTAAATTACTTTATTTTATCTAAATTAAAATAAGATGACACTAACTTATAATACATCGTAATGCGTTAAATGTCAAGAGTTATAATTATATGGTAATTGAACATTGTAAACCACACGTGCATTCATATGAACATTGTAAACCACACTTGCATTCATATGGAGATTATAAAAACACTTATTCTATGAACGTTGCAAGCCACACTTGCATTCATATGGGTTGTAAACCACACACTTGTTGTATTCATATAGATTTTAAACCACACACTTGTATTTATATTCTCGGGGTGGACATCCGCGCATTTTCACCACATGACAACCATCATAGTGAAAACAAAGGCTGAAAACTCTCAGAAAACGGTACTTTAGGATGGTTGTTGAGACTCCCCTGAACAGTGTAACAAGATTACCCCCTGCGCGTGTAACGCATACAAATTTGATTGTTCAGGATTACTTCAAAGTTGAGTTTCTGTTGTTTTCCCGATTTTTTCACCGGCCGTTCGCATGGCGAATCTATGAATTGTTGCGATGTAGTTCTGCCCCAGAGAATAGATTGTAAACCATACACTTGTATTCATATAGATTGTAAACCACACACTTACATGCTTATGGGCTGTAAACCACACTTGCATT